CAACACATCAGCAATGGCAAGAATAACATTATACTCACTCCAATACTTGACAAACTTCCCTTTCATTTTTGTTGACATTTCTTGAGTTATCAAAACATGACTATTTTCATTCTCACTCAACAAACGGTCTATTTCGTAAAATTGCATAAAATACCAATTTGAAGTAGGATAAGAAGATCCAGAAAATAATTTAGTGATGATATAAAAGGGAGTCAAGAAATCACGAATCAATTCCCCTATCTTCCAATCCTCACTCAATGGACAAGTGATAAAAGATTTTGTCATATAATATTAGACTCCCAAAAGAACTTCAAAACACTTTCTAACATGACATAAACTGAACTCCATCTAGTGGGGACATCTAACCTCGAACTCACACTACTATTAATGACTCTAACTAGCTCCACACACTTAACAAATAATATTTTTCTTGATTCTGAATTTTTCACATATTTGATATTTTTCCTAATCTTGAGTAAACTAGAACTTGCAGCTTTCAACCCTTCTTGAACAATTAAATTCACTATATTAGCACACCACTGAATATGAAAGAACTGCCTATCATTTGCAGCATTTTCCAAAGTCAAAGAAAAGAATTTCTTGTCAATTCCTCATTCTTTCAAACAATCAAAAACTGCCCCGACCAACTCTATACTGGTGTTTGGAGGATCAAATTTGCAAAAAGAAAGGATCTTGCTATTTAACTTTCAATTCTTATCAACAAAGTGAGCAATAATACAAATATAGCATTCAATTGTATAAGCAGACCAACAATCACAAGTTAAACAAATTCTACTAGGGCCAAGATCTTGTGGTCTAGTGGCACCAAGTTAAACTCCCATATGGGAGGTTGTGGGTTCGAGCCTCAATGGAGACAATATTGACTCTTTGTGCTTCAGTAGATTAAAAAAGTAGTTATAAACATCTACTACATTGTAATATTGACTCTTTGTGCTTCACATTCGGATTACACAAAGAAATGAACTCTATAATTTTTCTATATTTCACAAAAGATTATGGGAGGTCATGTTCAACAATAGTCATTGCTATAACCTCCATATACGTTTATAATAATCAAGTTGCCTAGATCTCAACTTCCTTGTGAATCTAACATCACTATCCCAATATTATGATATTTAGGAAGAGCAATACATTTAGGGATATGTTGTGCCAAAGTAGATGTTCCATACTTAGTACCGCCAACAACATACTCCTTTCCACAACCACTGCACCTAGCATTTTTTGTTTTTTACCATCAATTCAACTATTCCAAGTTTAGTAAATGAATTTCAAACATCAGAAGTAGTAGTTTTAGCTCTTTTAGGCTTATGTTCTCCAAAATTAGGTTCTCCAAGATTATGTTGTTCTGTAGGAAGTGTAGTTGTTCAAAATTAGGCACTTCGGGGTCTAAATCTATTTCGGTATCATTACCAGTAGCACTACTAATATAGTTAACACTAAGAGATGCCATTATGTTGCACAAAGGTTCAAAATTTAATTAAAACATGATGTTCACAGAGACACAGACTCATAGACAGTCAAAAGTAAGGGCAACTGGGCAAGGCAGTAGGCAATACACAACTAAACATGTAAGACAGTAATCACATTATCATTTATCACTAACATTTGTATGGTGGATAAGCCTATCCCAGACCTTATAAAGCAATTACAAGAGGAAATTAAGCACTTGTCAAACCTCACTAGTACAAAACTGCACATCCGCCACTATTGTAAATGACTTTTCGCATCTGTTGTACAATAGTGGCGGATGACAAAGTTGCTGAAAGCCTTGGACTTACTGCTGTTGTGGAACAGTGGCGGAAAGGTTCGTCATCCGCGACCGTTCTTGAACAGTTGTGTGGACCACGGTCCAAAATATCGTCGTGAATATTATGAGTAAAAATAATGTACATTATGTGTTATAATAATGTACATTATGTGTTAGAATAATGTACATTATGTTTTAGAATAATGTATATTACGTGTTAGAATAATGCACATTATGTGTTAAAATAATGTACATTACGTGTTAGAATAATGAAACATTTGTGGTAATATAGGGCTCGTTTACTAACAGGATTATATTCTCCAGTTTTCTAGAAAATTGGAGAATTGGAGAATAGAAAACAGAAAACATGTTTACTATCATAGTTTTCCATTTTGAAATCTGAAAATAATTTTTCAGTACACACTCTTAAAAACTGTTTTCTAAATGGAAAACAGAATCACCTATCATCTATTTGGTTATATGTTACTATAACCACATTACTATGATTACATTCATTATCATATTCTTTTACTTATCACCCTCTTCTATTTTTTCTACTTACTTTACTTATTTTAACATAACTTATTTGCTTACACTTTAAAATTAGACATTATTAAACTCTATACAATGTTTTAGATTTTGATTGAACTCAATAGATTATTAGTTCGGATATTTTTAGTTATGTTACTCCGTATATCATAATACAAATTCGGTCCGGATATCACATATTGAAATCTCACATATATTAGAATTCAAAGTAAAAATTATATCTACTATACTAATAAGAGCCCAAGAGAGGTAGGCCTATAATGGGTAGAAAAAATGGCGGTCACAGATTTTAATCAAATGTATGGCTCAGATTGATTAAAAGATTGATCAGATTTAAATTTTACACTAAAATTTCCTAAAATACCCACACACCGTTACTAATTCCGTTAAAATTTTAAGAATCGCCGTTAGTTCACCGTTAACTTACTCATTGATTTCAATAAAAAAAGGTCTTAGGTACGAACCTCACCCCAATCAAAGTTGGCATAATTAGTACTCTATTTTACTCTTATTAAATTATATAAATAATAATTTAGTAGTTACAACGAAAAATAATACATATGCATTTCTTTAATTTAGAATTATGTGTCCACAATGTCTTTATTCAAAAAAAAAAATTATTCATTATCAATAAATTAAATAATAGAAATAATTTTATTAGTTATATTGTCTTTATTTTTCTTCAATATAAAAATTCTTTATATTCAAATTTATTAATTGATTATATTCGCTACATTATCCTTACAATGTCTTTATTCAGTGAAAAAAAATTATTAATTATCAATAAATTAATTAAAAGAAATATTTTCATTAGTTATATTGTCTTTATTTTTCTCAAATGTAAAAAATTTTACATTCAAATTCATCAATTGATTATATTTACTACATTATCTATTATCTTTTTTGTGCACTACTTTTCTAATTAAATATCAAAGTTATAATACAAAATAATGTTGTATATTTATTTACCAAGTATTTTATTAATACCATGAAAAAATTAAAAAAATATATAATTAATAAAGCCAACCATATTAACTATTTGAGAGATTTTGTGACAAAGAGAGTATTTAAATCACACAACAAATTGAAGTGAGAACTACCTCGCAATGTCCTTGTTTGACAATCAGCAGTTAGAGGTTAGCGTTAGCGGATTATTCTAGCAGATTTGACCAGCGAATTTATTTAATTATTAACATTGGGTAGAAAAAATGACCGCCAAATTATTAAATCAAATGAATGGTTCATATTAAATCAAATGAATCGTTTGGTTCGCTGGAAAATATTTGAAGGGAAGTGAAATTGAAATTCCATGGAAAATAAATTCCAAGAAAATAGATTCCATTGTTTGGTTGGTGGAAAAGAAATTACTGGGAATATGAGTTCCATTGTTTGGTTGAGTTTGGAATGGTAAAGAATAATGATTACAATGACAAATATAACCCTACACAACAATAATAATATAATAATAATGAGAGTAATTAATAAAGAATGATGAGGGTAAAATAGTCATATTAGTTTTCCATGGAAAACTTTTTCCATGGAAAACAAAATACCTAGTATGAGCTAGGAATTTGTTTTCCTCATTCTCAAGGAAAACATTTTCCAATGGAAAATGTTTTCCATCCAACCAAACAATATAAAACATCATTTTCCTTCACCTTTATAATTTATCCTTAATTATATGATTATCCATTTAACTTTTCTGTTAATTCACCGTTAGTCTAATTCTAATATTAAAGTCTAATATAGAATTATAACTACACCATTAATAGAACTTAACCACAAATCCTAATGTCAGAATCTCCTCAAACAATATTAGTATATATTTAATATTTTATGCCTTAATTTTTATTTGTTTTCTCTTATGTCCCGTATTTGGTTTCAACCATACCTATACAATTATTTTATTGACAATTATAATCAATCTTGACTATATTATCTTGCATTTGTAAACTTAGAATTACCTATTTAACCCGCACGGGCTTAGCTCAATGGTTTAGTGGGTAGTATTTGGGAGAAGAGACCAAGGTTTGAACCTCGGCAGCGGCAATGCGGAAATTATGTCCAAAGTGGGCAGATTCCTTGTGCGTATCAGCATTTAGCCCTGTCTGCTGAACCATTGAATCACCGTGATTTAGCCCTGTCTGCTGAACCATTGAATCACCGTGATTTACAACTTCCCACAATGCTCTGTCGGGTCGGAGTGTGAGGGGGGGCCTTGGGGTTGGGGACTCAACCTTTGGGAGAAGAATTACCTATTTAAATACGCAAATCCAACCTTCAATTATCTATGCATGAACAATTTCAATATAATCCTGCCTTAATATACTTTAAAGTACTTATTTTAAAAAATAAAAAAAAACATTGGGCATTATCCCAATCGCGCAATGCGCGTACAAAACTAGTATTCATATACATGTCATTCAAATGGATATATCCAAAAAAAAATATTTTAGTTATTAACTCAAAAAATATTAATATTATCCAATGTTGAAAAAGACGCTTTCTGCCCCTAGGCGCCCGATTTATTTATTATTATTTTTAATTTAAGGCATAACTTTTAAATCGCTTATCCGTTTTGGACAAATTTTATTTTTATTTTTGAAAAAAGTGAAGTATTGATGATGCTCTTGGCTTTTATGCTTTGGTTTTTATATAGTTTATTTTTGAAAATTTTTTAATTATTATTATTTTTCCGATACATTCGAAGCAAAATTTCTTGAGATTTCAGCAGAGTACACAAGGGCATAAGGTTGTCACTCCGACGGAAGTTTCACGATAAGCTCTCAAATCTCTTTCTGTCCTTCAGCCTCAGCTCCGATTGCTAGCTCCCATGGCGACTGGCTTAGCCTTTTCAACTCTCTCAGGTAACTCTATGTAGTTCCAATTGCACTATATCTCTATGCGTGTGTATTTCTTCTTTATGGCTGTTTGTTGATTGAGCTTTCAGTTCTATAATGATTTGTAGCGTGGAATAGTTCTCATTACGATTATGGGGGCGGGAAGGGAGAATTCGTCGCAGGTTGCATTTGGACTCATATCTTATTATTTGCTTCACCATAGTTCATTTCTCACCATTGTTGAGGCTCATTTGCAATGTAATAGGCCGAAACGTGGGCCGGTGCAAATTCCATGTCGATAACTATGGGTGTTCATTCATGTCTTTAGGGCGAATTTGACCTAAATTGTGTTTGTAGTATGCTGTTAGAGATTTCATTGCTCTTGTTTGTTTTACCAGACCTGTGCTTGTATGACTAATTGAACCCATCCGACTTTAAAATTTATTATAACAAGGAAAAGATGAAAATAAAAATGGATTCTCATCGGAATTGTTTTGATGATATGCTGACTGTGAATCTGGAGTTTTTTGTTTGTGACTTATAGACAAAGCAGGCCTGGTTATACTTTTACTGAAATCATTTACTGCTTAGACATTTAGATTTTATATTTCACCTTCCTATGAACTGAGAGATGCACACCCTCTGTCCCTCTGGCATAATAAATTGCTCTAATTTACTTCATATTTTTGAACAAGCATCTTTTTAATTTTAGAGTAGCCAATGCAAACAGCCACTTTAATCTGAGGTTTTGACTCATAAGCTGTTGACTAGATGAGTCTCTATGAACTAGATTTCATCGACTAGCATCTTAGCTTTATACACAAACTCTGTAGTTATAGTGTTATACAAGCTTTCTGCCTTTCATATCAAGAATTTTTATATTATAGAGTGAGTAATAATGTTTCTCTTCTTATAGGTCCAACTCATCTCAAGAAATATGAAGCTTGGTCTGCTAAGTCCTCTTCATTTGTCAGGACACCAGTATTGATAAATCAGAGGAAATTGGTTCATCAGAGAACGAATAACAACTTCTCTATTCGTGCACGCTACAAGTATGTTATTCATAATCCATGTAGCTCATATAGATTGAAGAATATTGAATGATGCATGGAGTGGAATGAAATCATCAACTTGTTTAGCTTCAGTCTTAATGTTTTAAATAGGAAAACTCTTTTCCTGACGTAGGTCACTCTGTTATTCGATTCCAGAATTGTTGAAGAAAATTTTTGTTGGTGATTGAGTTCAAATTTTATACATTTATTACATACCTGCAATCTAGGTAAAAAAGAGTTATATAATTATGTTGCAGATTGCTACTGAGGGATTCAGTCTTATTTATGCTTTATATTTATATTCTTGCTATCTTGCCTGATCTTGATGTTTGGCACTTTGTCTTAGAGAATTTTGTAGATGCCTCATTCTAGGCATGAATAATGAATAGGCTACCTTGTGTCCTCGCCCCATTAGAAAGTTTTATGTTTTGTGCAACATGTAGCATGAATTGCAATTCCAAGAGAAGACAATTTGTGAGTGTGAGAAAGAAAGTAATCTCATACTTGCTTGTGTTTCCTTGTAAAAATCATTGAATGGATCTTGATTGTCTTTTTCATTCTTTCCATAAGAACTATGGATATTGCTTTCTTTAGCGCGTGGCATTACTTGTGTTGTTCCAGCTCCTGTTAAGGGTTTCATATTTTGACACTTGTGACTACTTCACCATGGTTTATATGGATTGCATGGAAAGGAACTATGGTTTTAGAAGGCAGATGAACAAGAGAAAGGTGAGGGGTGGGTTCAGTTTTGATTTACAGATTTGTTTAGTTAGTTAGCACCTTCCATATCACTTACAGTTTGGGGAAGAAAGGTGCAAACTACCCTACCTTTGCTTTCATGACACCTCCTTGGTGCATTAGTTAAACAGATTGATATAGTTCTCCCACCTTCTAGAAAGAAAGGATAAAAAGGATTTGAAGTAAGAACTTACAAAAGATAGTGCTATTGCCCCTAACCTTATGTGACGATGTGTTTAAAGTAGCTTCACAAATAGTGTCACTGGCTGACTGGCATTTTCTCTTCTTGTGAGAAACTTAAATTGTACGCATTTTCACATTCTCCAACTCTTCATTCTCACTAGACTGTCATTATACAAGAGATGGTATCAACTTGTGTGAATGGGTTTCTCAAGCATTCAATTGGTTGCTTATCGGTGTAGTGTACGGTCTAAAATAAACTGCTCCTTTGTGAAACCCAAATTTATTCAAAAAAATTACCCATAGTTGTATGTCTACTACTCTACTTCTATTTCTCAACACTTAATATTTAAAGTTATAGAAATTAACGCCTCCTATCACTTCTGCACTCTGGTATTGGGCTGCCTATGTCTCAAGTTCATTTAATGTTGTAGTTTGGTCTGTTTGGAGCCTGCCTACAGTAAACTTCAGTTAATAACTTTTCCCTTTCTAAGAGTGGAGCTGTCTTTCTGTGTCCATAGCAAATGCATCCATCCTACTTGGAATTGGGAAGAGATTCTCTCAAGATCATGTTGGCCTGTACCTCAATCTCATGGGCTATAGAAATCCCCAATAGTTTGACACCCTTATAGCCTCTTAATGTTGAACATAATTTCTTTTAACTGTGATATTTTAATATTTTGTTCAATATTACAAATAAGAACTGTTTTAGTTGATTATGATGTAGTTTCTTAATTTCCTGACTAATACAAAAACACATGCAACAAAATGACAGCTCATATTTTTTAATTAGCAGATACTCCGAAAATTACCTATGTAGTGCTACAGTTTATTCATTTCTATTTAACTGTCATTTTATTTATTTTACTTGTAATTGTTTCTCTTTTTATTTATTTATTTTATTTTATTTTTTATTTAGTGATCAGAGAGGTGGAGGTGAAGGTGATTTTATTGCTGGATTTCTGTTGGGAGGTGCAATTTTTGGAGCACTTGGCTATGTTTTTGCCCCACAGGTGATTATATATTTCTCCTTGGTTCCCCCTTAGTGTCTGACCTAAAAATAATGTCTTTTTAATTCCTGTATATCCTTGAAAGATGGGCTATTTCATTTCTAGGTTAAATAGGTCATAGATACGCTTATCATGACTATCCAGTGATATCTTGTGTCCCCATTGTGATTATGCTTTGTAATAAGAAATCTATTCATTATTTCTTTGAATAGATTTAGGCAAGTGTTTAATGGAGTCATGGCTTTTGAGTTTTGCCAAGGTGTCCTCATATTTATACAAAGTTCGCAAAGTTCTGTTTTACAAGGGACTACTCCCTTCCGTCAAAGGAAGACTAAAATATGTAGAAGTAGAAAAGTAAACGTACTTTCCTCCTTTAAAGGCAGACTGCTATGGAATTAAGACTGCATATAACTTGAGAAGGTAAGAAGAGTGATATAGAATGTAAGCTATAAACTAATGAAACTGGAAGCACTTCAATAATCCATAGTCAATTAGGGGGTGTGAAAAATAGATTTGTTTGTTTTGCTGCCTTTTAAGTCATTTTGGCAAATATTTAATATTGTAGTTATGTTCTTCCTCTTATTGTTCTTTGTCTAGATAAGAAGAACAATCCTAAATGAGAATGAATATGGTTTCCGGAGGGCAAGGCGACCAATATACTATGACGATGGTTTAGAGGTAGTTACAGGCATATGATACTTTTGAACTTTCATAATTGGTGTTTTCCACCTTCCATGCTTCTAATTTTATATATTCTCGCACTTGTTCATGAAATGCAGAGAACTAGGGAAACCTTGAATGAAAAGATACACCAACTCAATTCTGCTATTGACAATGTGTCTTCCCGGCTGATGAGAGGTGGCAAAACCATGCCCCCGGTGCCCCTTGAGACTGATCCAGAAGAAGCCACTATGTAAGAGCAGCCAGCCAGCTTGCTCGTCTCTGGGAATGGTGATTTGTTGATCCAGTCAGTCGGGCAAACGCTGTGGAATAATATAAATTTTTAATTAAGTGGAACAGCATATTAATATTTGATTGATACATGAACTTGAGTAAAACATGATGTCTTGAATTATTTTAATGTAGTAATAGGGCATTGGATTGTTGAAGTGTGATTAAGCCCCATACACAAACACCAATTGTTATACCATTGAGCGTGGTTCATATTGCATTGTGAACTTTTGTCCAAAAATAATGTGCTTACAGTTAATACATTTTGTACTTATAGTTAATATAATTTTTGTACTTGTAAATAAATTGAAGGCAAATAACATGAATGTGCAATTATACAAAATACAAAATTTGTATAACATGATAATTATACAAATTGTTAATTAAAGATACAAAATATGTTATACATAAGATAGTTAATATATTGTGTTTTGCAATTAACAATTTATGTCTTTAATAATCATTAATGTGCCTTCAATTTGTTTACAGATTAAAAAAACAGTTAATTATAGGTACATGATGTGTCAACTACAAGTACAGAATTTGAATGTTATTTTTGGATCAAAATTCATAATGCAAAGTAGACTCAAATACCGACTTTAAGTCTATACACTCAAATACTGAGTTAAGTCTATGCGGGAGTGCATCGCAGCATGCTAGTTCATGGGATGGTTGGAGACTTGGAGTGGGGGTTTTCACTTTTCACTTTTCAAAGCGGAGCAATAGAATCTATATTTTAGCCGTTTAAAAAGCAAAGCCTCTACCATACAACAAACAGCAAACAGTGCCTGAAATATGTAGCCTAAGTTACAACATCAACCTGATTGTTATTCAATGTCATCAATCCAGTCACCATAAATTTTACTAATTTTATCGGGTCCTTTCCATTTCTGAATGGGTCTTTCTCCGGTCCTCATGCTGCAGGACGACCTTTGTATTGGAACACCCGAACCCAAATGATAAACATCTCCGTGGGGGGCCGATATGGTTGACACTGCTGCCGTGTTTTCTGTTGCCCCTCCCTGATTTATATTTGAAGGAGTTGGTGCAGAATCTTTGCCTTCGCCCTCTGCAAGACCTCCCCCGAACTTGTGCAGTTCTGTCACAAGTTGCCAACACACATAACAGTTAATGCAAACAATAATGTAAACTTCCAACATTAAGGTCTTGTCAAGCTCGAAAAATGAAATGGAATCTACAGTATCCTTGAGACTTTTTACAGAACCCTGAAAAAGAGGATCATAAAAAACCAGCTTGGTTGGCGTGAGTGGCAGTTCACTCTCGTCCCTTAAGAGAGGTCGGGAGTTCAAACCCCCTCTCGTATGAAAAACCAATCTGGCCAGCACTTTGCCCCTTAGGCCTTAATTGGGCCGACCCGGTGCGAACGGGGATTAGTCTGAGTATGGTACGGGCTTAAAGGTGTCTCCTACCGTTAGAGCCTGCTCAGGACACCTCGTGGTCTGACCCAAAAAAAAGAGGATCATAAAAACCACTTCTGTAACTTACAGATACTGCCTAGCCTAGTTTAGCAGCCATTACCACACAAAAATTGACCTTATCTGAAACGGAAGTTGAACTAGAGATAGAGAAACAATAGCTGATACAAATCTTAGAAGCATTCTTATACCTGAAAATTAGTGTAAAAGAAAAAATGGATTCATGAAATTTGTTGCTACAGGTTTTTGAAATCATGGAACCATTACTCCAAATTCACTACCATCCGTTATGAACAACGCTGGCTCTAGTTTCCTAAAATACTGTTTTCCCCCCATATATATATATAGGGGTGCGATCTCGTGCGAATGGCCACCCAGGTGCGAAATACGAACCAATCAGCGCGCGCCACATGTCAACATTCATTGATTGGGTGCACCTACTTTCACCTACAAGTGCACCTACTTTCACCTACAAGTGCATGTAATTTTGCCTCGTTAACATTCATTGATCAGGTGCACCTACTTTCACCTACTTTCACCTACAAGTGCATCGACTTTCACCTAGGTGTACCTAGTTATAATTATATGTGCACCTACATCTGGACACGTGGCGCGCGCTGATTGGTTCGCATTTCGCTCATGGGCACGCCATTCGCACCAGAACGCGACTCTCTCTCTCTCTCTCTCTCTCTCTCTCTCTCTATATATATATATATATATATATATATATATGAACCTAGGACTAATGCCATGAAAGGTGAGCAGTTTACGATTAAGCTAAAATACTAGTACTTGCCATCTTTTCATATTTCAGGTCACAGAAGTGTGTTGATGAGGTTTCAAACTTGCCTCATCACTCCCCTTTCTACTTGTAACTATAGATTTCAGTGTACCATCTCAAAGATAAGCCTTATTCTATGCTTTAACTATCAAGAAAATATAAAAGGTAAAAGGAAAAAAGGAACCCTGTTGGCCTGTTCCATGCTAACCTGCTCAGACTTTTGAATCGTGGTTACAAAATAACAATGTAATAAGATATAATACAATTAGATAGCAGGACTAATTTGTTTGTAAAATATCATGCAATCCATTATGTACATACAGGTAAAAGAGACAATCTCAAACATGACTTATTAGCATAATCATCAGCCAAACTGATATGAGTAGAAACATTAGGTGAAATGAAATTCCACTTTTGGTTTGTTGACTATAGTGGTATTTTTATTTATTGGCCATTGAATTTGATTTGTTCCAATTTTAGTCCTCAACTTTAAAAAATATTTCACTTTTAATCCTAAATACCAAAAGAGACCTTACTTTGTGGAAACTTCACCAACATATATTTAAGGGCATTTTGGACTAAAAGTGGGATGGTTGTTAAAGTTGAGGACTAATGTGGAATAAACACAAATAATAATAAACTTAACTAAATAAATGCCCACCTAAGTATGGTGTATTCTACACATTAACTGTCCTATATATTCTAGCAAAAGACTAAACTACTTGGGGTAACTTCATGGGCATTTTAGAATAATTTACACATGTTGATTGTTACCTTTAGAATACAAAGAGACAGTTTCCAATTAAATGAAAGAGATAAATTAATGAAACATTTGATATGAAAACGAAAGGAAAGCTCTGAATAGCTGCTAATCATCATAGTTTAGCATTCTCGCGATAACAATTGAAATGATGAATTATGCCAAAAATAAGAAAGATTTAGCCTTACCTTCTGCTCCATGAGCAAAATGGCACTTGCTGCCAAATGGGCAATAGCCTGTTGTTTCCCACTTATTACAAATTCTAGTCTTCCAGTTGGAAGGCTTTTGGTTTGCCACGGTTGCGCTGTTACCAAATCCGGGACCAGCACTTGGAGTCACACTTATCGCAACACTTTCACGAGCTCGAGATTGTTCATCGTGAAGGAAGGCACAGCTATCTCCATACGGGCAACCTTCTTCGGTGTAGAACTTCTTGCAGTGCCTTCCTTTGTAAGACCTCTGGGTCTCACCACGTAAATCGGGAGAACTCATGGTTGGAATCTGGTGCTCCTCTCTGGGTGGTTCCACCACCACTCCTCCTCCAAGTTCACTCTCGTGAGCAGCAATAATCTCTTGCCAATTAGGAGGAGGTTTGCGGAGCTCTTCTATTCCATGAGCAAAGTTACAATTAGTAATATAAGGGCAGACACCAGCTCGAAACTTGCAACACAGTTTAGTCTTGAAAAACATCTTCCCAATTGCCTTGGATCGAGTAGGGACTATAACATGAGCGTCTCCGCCCTGTGAGTTGCGGGATCTCTTGTTTGGAGGGGTTTCAAGAGAGGAACCCGGGTTCCAGGCATTATAGTCATCCTCAGTAGCCCAAACACCCTGGTCCATCGAGCCAGGAATCCCCCAATTGTCAAACCCACCACTCATCTCGACGGCATCAGAGCCGGAGAGCACATTTCCACCCGCAACTGCTTCCCCAATGAAATCCATGAACACAAAAACCACACCAAGTTTTCAAAACCAACTTATGCAGGAGAAATATACACGCACATACATAAACTACAACACACTATCCATCTATAGAAGCAAAAATCCAACCTCTTGCTATACGCTGACCTGAACTGAACTAAACTGAACACTTCAACTCCAAAATCCAACTTTATTTCTAAATTACAGAAATTCGGCCAAGAACCAAGCTTACTAGTTACTACATCCTCACCCTTCTAACAAGAAAGTAACCCTAATTTCAAACTTCGAAACTCCGAGACCCTGAACAAAAACATAATTCAAAAATCCAAATTTTTTAAAATTTCAAGAAACCACAAACCCTGAAGAAGCGAAATGCAGAGAACATAAATAAATAAATAAAAAGTTAACAAGAAGTGGTAATAGCAATAAATACAGCGACAGTAGCGGTTGTAGACGAAATATAGTTGTAATAATCCGGAGAAATGAGAATCTAACAAATGTAATTGGAAAGAAAACCCTGAGAAGGGAAAGGATTTAGGAAATGATTATGGTAATCCAATCCTTGTTTTATTAAAAGGTGGTAATCCAATCCTAGCACGGAGATAATGAAACTACTTCAACCAACTAAATTACCGAGTACTATGTAAACTCCTATTTCTACTTCGGAATTTTATTCCCACTTTCAAATTCTTGATATAAACATTTTTCTTTGAACCCATATAATAAAAATAAAAATTAATGACTGTTATGGTTCATCGACTATGTCACAATTACCAAATCGGTCCTGAACTATCAATTTTAACCAATTAAATCATCAACTATTAATGTCGTAACCAATTTGGTCATCCATCAAACTGACTGATGACCAATTCAGTAATTACGAAAGACCAAATCAGTTACGAAATGGATGTGCGGAAACTAATCTAAAAACATAATAAGTGTGGATGAAGGTTATACCCTTCATTTATGTCTGTTTTTCCGGTTAAATTTTATGATATATTATGCTATAAATGTTGTACTATACAATATTTTGGACAAATATACCCCCTATTGTTATAACTTCCGTTATCTTTTCCACTATTGATATCATGCATGTCCATCCACCATATATTTTCTTATTTTCAATAATAATAATAATAATAATAATAATAATAATAATAATATACACATTATATATTGGGATTATATGTTACTTATTTCTTAAAATATAAATATTAAATTTATAGAAATGTTTTACATTATTATTATTATTATTATTATTATTATTATTATTATTAAATATCTAAAATCTAAATAAATTTAAAATTTTAATATAAAATATTAATATTGGGCACCTATTTTTTGTACATCGCGCATAAAAAATACTAGTATTATTATTATAATAATATATTTTTCGCGGTACCAACCTAGGATGATATCGTGAAAAGTTATATTATTACTTTAATAATATTTTCGCGACACCCCTTCCTAATTGGTTCCACGAAAAGTACACTTTTTCTTTACACTACACCTTCATTATGGAGGTGTACTGAAAAGTAATACTTATATTTTCAATTTTGTAATACTGTACTCTCCAAAAATCAAGCTAACAAAAAAATTTCATTTAACCTTTCTTCCTTCCCCAACTAACTAGCTAGAAAATTAAAGATGAATTTTAACGGTCTAGAAAAGATAATATCATCCACCCTTCAACTTCATCAAAAGTTTCATACTTTCATCCACCTTTCAACATCATCGATCAAAAGTTGCATCCTCCAACTCCAGCTCCCTACATGAGGAATAATGTAATGTTAGATTGTTAGGAATGTTAGATTATTGGGAATATTAGATTCATGTGTTTGGTTAAAACTGAGGTATATAATATAAACCTGTTTGATTTAGGGGTTATCTTTTGTGTTATACTAATTTTTTTTTTTTTTTTTACTTTAATACCCTCAACATATGTTAATGTATTTCAATAGACTAACTTCAAAAATAAAATAAATTAATTAAATAAGGCAATGGTAACAAATATAAGTACATGATTTAAAAATAATTAACTAAGAGCTTGAACTTGATAAACAAAATTACTTCATAATATAACACGACGTAATAAGAAATAAAATAAATAGATAATTACAAAAATAATTAAATATGATATGTATAATAAGCTAACATAAAACATATATTTCATAATATTATAATTAAAATAGCAAAATAGCAAATGTGCATGGGAATGTTAGATTACCTAAGATTTGTAAGGGAATCACATTCCCTTAAAAATCCTATGTGGAGGGTATATTACATTCCTTAAGGAAAGTTGCATTCCCTTAGAAAAGTAAGATAACATGAACCAAACATGGGAATGTGACATTCCAAACCTCACATTCCCTTGGTTATGTTATATAACTTGAACCAAACACCCCTAAAAGTGTCTAGGACTAATGACATCCTTATACACAGTTATACAATGGACCATGGTCCACACAACTCTATGTAGATCATGATTGTCAAATGAAATTGTAATAGAATTAAAATAATAATTTAGTGTTGTTATAATAAAACTAGCGTGTGTGAAAAATGAAACTAAAAATCAAAACAATATTGTTAAATGAAACTAAAGTACAACTAGAATGATACATTCTTCATAATTCACACTGCTACATGAACCATTCTAAAGTAAAATTTGCTGTGGGTTGTGCCTGAACCAAGAAATGTTGTTGGACCTAAGTCACCTAACCCATATTGTCAATTTGTCATTCCTACCAAAAACCCTAAAAATACCTTACATATGGGACATGCAAAATGAAGGTGAAACATTTTTAGACTGAAGCATTACAAGTAGAAAGACAAATGAAAAATGCCCTCACCCATATGGACCAAATTTGGTGTTGTCAGGGAGTAGTTATGCTGTGCATCCGTATGCACCATGCATGGTGCATACGGATGCAAAAACAACGTCGTTTTATTAAAAACGCGCGTCCCCCCTTAAAAAAAAAAAAATTCAGGTTCAATTCCCAGCAACAACATTATGTTCTTCATTCATTCTGAAATTTTAGTTCATAGATTATGGAATTATAGTTCATAGATTATGGAATTGTAGTTCATCGATTCTGGAATTGTAGTTCATCAATTCTGAAATTTTAGTTCATAGATTCTGGAATTTTAGTTCATTCATTCTGGAATTTTTAGTTCATAGATTAGATTCTGAAATTTTAGTTCCTAGATTCTGGAATTATAGTTCATCGATTATGGAATTATAGTTCATCAATTCTGGAATTATAGTTCATCAATTCTGAAATTTTAGTTCATATGTTGTTGCTGAGAATCGAACCTGAACTTTTTTTTTAAGGGGAGACGCGCGTTTTTAATAAAACGACGTCGTTTTTGCATCCGTATGCAACATGCATGGTGCATACGGATGCACAACATAATTTGCCGTTGTCAGGGCCGGACTTTAAGCTGTGCAAGCTGGGCCACCGCACAGGGCCCCCAAATTTTAGAGGGCCCAATATTTAATTTTTACCTAGCTAGTTTAGAAATAAAAACTACAAGTTTTCAATTAAATTTAAATATTTTCATGGAGGAATGGTAAGAACATGTGTTAATTATATTTTAACTTGGAGGTCAAAGGTTCAAAACTTAGGTCCAATATTTAATTTTTACCTAGCTAGTTTAGAAATAAAAATAAAAAATTTTCAATTAAATTTAAAAGGCTCTATGGTGAAATGGTAGGAATTTGTGCTTATTATATTTTAACTTGGAGGTCAGATGTTCGAAGCTTGGGTCCAATATTTATTTTTTACACTTGAGTGTTGCTCCAACTTTGACCATCTCCCTTTTTTAAAATTATTATTATTATTATTATTATTATTATTATTAGGGAAAATTGCACTTTTCAACCCTAAGTTATAGGGTAATTATAGAATTCGTCCCTAAGTGTTGGTCATGCTCACTTTTTGTCCCTAAGTTATCATTGGCGTTGCACTTTTCGGCCCTGAGTTATAAGGTAATTGTAGGATTCGTCCCTAAGTGTTGGTCATGTTCACTTTTCGTCCCTAAGTTATCATTGACGTTGCACTTTTCGTCCCTGAGTTATACTAAAATTACAAATTTTGCCCATAATCACTACTACATAAATGTTATTCTACGCCACTTTTTAAATAACCGTTGTCTAATATATTGTGTTATACACTTATACCACGTCACTTAATAGACAACGGTTGTTTAAATAACTACCTATATAGTTGACATACACGGCAGTTTTTTTAACCACCGTATATAGTTAACATACACAACGATTTCCAAAACCGTTGTAGAAAATGTATATTTACAACGGCAGTCACTTACACACGCGACACTTCGAAAACTGTCGTGTATGCATGTGTAAAAAAACCGCCGGTGGTTATTTAAAGTGTATGACATAAAAAAAAATTAATTAAGTTATATACGATGGTTATTTAAAAACCCGTTGTCTATTAAATGACGTAGTATAACAAAATATATAAGATGGTGGTTATTTAAAAAACATCCGTCTATTAAGTGACGTAGTATACCATTTATGTAGTAGTGATTAGGGACGTAAATTGCAATTTTAGTATAACTCAGGGACGAAAAGTGCAACGCAAATGATAACTTAGGGACGCAAAGTGAGCATAAACAACACTCGGGGACAAATTCTACAATTACTCTATAACTCAGGGATGAAAAGTGCAACACCAATGATAACTTAGGGACGAAAATTGAGCATGACCAACACTCAGGGACGAATTCTACAATTACCCTATAACTTAGGGACGAAAAATACAATTTTCTCTTATTATTATTATTATTATTATTATTATTATTATTATTATTATTATTATTATTATTATTATTATTCCATAATATGTTTTTTTTTCTTCCTTTTTTAATCATTTTGCATTGCAAGTTTGTGCACACTATTATTATTATTATTGTAATTTAATTTATAATATATTTTTTGTTTTTTTCTTTATGCACAACAACATTTTATCACCTTCTTATTATTATTATTATTATTATTATTATTATTATTATTATTATTATTATATTAAAAAATACGGTATTGATTTTAAAGATTGTGATTTTGGTAAGGCCTCATTTATTTACCAGAACAGACCACCAAAATCTAAAAACCGGCCCTGATGTTATCATGCCTGACATGGGGAGAGGTTACAGATATTTGTAGTCAGTAGTCCAGTGAACAATAATAACTATCAACACTATTATCCAAAAAAATAATAATAATAACTATCAACACTGAAAATAATTAGAATGAGTCTAGTTTACAGATATTTGAAGAGTCTGACTACAATAAGCATGAGTTGAGTTAATTGTTACAAGCTAGAGATTTGGTCAGAAGCAATATCAGACCAAATCGAGGAATTATTAAGCTGGTGTTCAAACATTTCTGCCAATTCACTGGCATCCTGTACCCTAAGCCTGGTTCCTTGCTGCCCTACAACTACAGACGCGACCTTAGCTGCAAGTGTACCCACGTCCTTCAAGTCGGATACACCACGAAGTATACCATACAAAATACCAGATGCATAAGCATCGCCTGCACCACACGTATCTAATGGCATGCATGGGGAAGGAGGAACATAAACAGCTTCCCC